TAGTGTAGAGTTTTCAGTAGGCTAATATTCCTCACTGTTTCACGACACCTGATATCTATCATTTGTATTTTTTAGCATCTTTTAACCCCCTTTCCCTGTAGCCGATTCACATAAGCAAAGCCCTTGTCCACTAGTTAGAAGCTAGCATTGAAACAGCTTTGGCCTGCCCAACATGAAAATTCATTTTCTTAATTTTGTAGACTATGTGAAGAGTTTTGATCAAATTTTTTTCTTTAATTCCCCCCCACCACCACCACCACAAAGGAGCATGAGCTCCTGATGAGGATTTGAAACGTGGGCTTTTGAGACATTTTTTTAAATTTTATTTATAATTAGAGGGTTGAAAGGAGAGACATGCTCTTAGGGCCAGCAACTTATTAACTGTGTTATCTGTATAATATGGTCTCTAATTTATATAAGGAGGTAATTCTCTAGATCAATCATTTACTAGCTTCTGATTGTCAAACAAAATGTTTTTCTTTTTTCTTTTTTGGAGAGGAAAAATATAATTCCTTTGGCCTAGGACTCTTTCACTATTTATTGATATGTGTTGACTACTTATACCAAGCTAGGACACAGCGTAATGTTTCTGATTCTGAAAGAACTTGCCAAATCTTTCATTGCCTTTGAGTTAACTAATGAACATTATATTTGGAGTGTTGTGTTGTGAGATTATTAAACCGAGTTGGTGTAAAAAACTTATTAAAGGAATAGGGATTTGTGGTAGATCTTGAAGGTAGAAGAGGAAAGGAGAAACAGTTCATATTTCTTAGTTTTTAAGGCATTTTGGCAGGAAGAAAAAGATATGGGATAGGCACAGATAGGAAACCAACTTAGAAGACTTGTATAAGAAAATAGTAAAAGATACAGTTAGAAAGTTTGGGTTTATCTTGTGAGTTCAAACTCTTCTGCAATTTTTTTTACTAGATATCAAAGATATAGAGATGAATAAGTCAGATACCTGCTGATTAGATAATTTACCTATATGATCTACAATCACTTTGCAGTTAATATGTCCAAAACTAAATTCATATTAACTAAGTCCCTATTACCCTTTAACTGCTCACCCCTTCTATCTAATTCTTCCTCTCTTTATTATTCTCAGTCTTAATTAATGACATTGCCATTCACCTAGTGATCCAAGGATAGTGGCCCTGGAGTCCCACTGTCTGGGTTCATATCCTGCAGCCTCCTGTTTGCTTGGCCCTGTGCTGGATAGTATCACAGATCCAGAGACTAGTCAGCCTGGTTTCTGACCTCCAAGGGCTTCTGATGGGCAAAGACTTAAAAGAAGAGTAGATAAGGATTAGATCCTAGGCAGTCTGATTCTGGAGCCTGATCTTTTCAGCATTTTGTTGTCTTGGGTAACTGGGTAGATATAGTGGCATTAATTAGAATTGAGAATAGAGGAAGAGGATCAAAGAGACTATGAGAAGATTAAAGGTAAATATGTACTTAATTTTGGAGACATTAATTTCTAGATCCCTATAGGACATTTTGGTAGATAGACTATAAACCTAGTACCTAGCCAGGGTTAAATGCTCAATTATGTACAAATCACCCCCTCTTTTCTAAATCTTTGATGGCTTTTCTACTGCCTTGAAAATTAAAAACTTACATTTAAGACCTTTCATAAAGTTGAACCTAGTCAACTGCTTTAGTTCATCTAGCTTTATTTGTACTTTCCCCAAATCTTTTATCTTCTTGCCTTTGGCTGATATGGCCTCTTCTTTCTTGCTCCATCTTCTTACATATTTGCTCTTACTTTTATAATTATAATGAAGATTAATGAATGAATACTGTATAGTGCTTGCAATATTGTGTGGCACATAAGTGCTTAGTAAATGTTATAGTTATTATTACTTCCTTTTTCTTCTTCTTACCCTGCAAAATGAAATAGACATGAAGTTCTAGTACTTCTATAACTCAAATATTTCTTTAATATAACTTTTCTTCATTTCACTGCCTTAGTTCAGTATCCATTTCTTACTGCCTTCAAACTGGTCTCATTGCCCCCATATAATCAATCCTCTACAGTCCTACTCGAGTGATATTTCTCTAAAAGTGAATGTGATCATGCCATCCCCTGTTTTCATTCCTGTAAAATCTAATGGGAGAAATCAATTGGGGAAGAATAATCATTCATTTTCTTTGCTGTCTGTCCCAGCAGACTATAAACACTCCAAGAGCGATAACCAAAATGGAATTTTAAGTGGATTAATAACAGGTTGCAGAAATTTTTCTGAGAATCAAAGGCTAGATCCAGGTAGATAAGCATAATAATAGTGCAAGCATGAGAACTCTTACCCAGATCACCTGGCCCAGCCTTTTCTTACATGATCTAGTATAGTATATATGGACATAGCTTACAATTTTTAAGCTGACAGTTTTAATTTCAGATAATAATTTTATAGACCAGCATATAAAGTAAAAAATACATTATTTGATTTTTAATATTCAGTAATTATTGCACATCGAGAAAGTGAGAGTTTTAATTTTCTGGAAATACGGATACATCTAGGTTTTTTAAATTAAAATTAAGCATAGTACTACAGCAACTCCTACACAAATTTCTGCTTACTTGTAATGAAAACATCAAATAAGCTGAATTTGTATAAATTAAAATATAAAAACTTAAGAATTGCCTATTGTAATTCTGTTATTTTAATGAAAAAGAAGGCAATCTAATGATAAATAAGGTATTTATGTGTAGGTCACATGGCTCTCTCTCTCTCTCTCTCTCTCTCTCTATCTATCTATCTATATATATATATATGCTAAGATTTGGATAGGACACAGGAAAATCTCTGGAAATTCTTATGAAATGTAATTCTAGTGGCTCATGTGGTTTGCCTCTATTTTCCTGATTGTTGGTTTAGTGCAGTGATTGGCAAACTGCAACTTATGAGCTACATGCGGCTCTTTGGCCCCTTGAGTGTAACTCTTCCACAAAATACCGTGGCCTGGTGAGTCTATTTTGAGGAAGTGGCGTTAGAAGGTACATAGGTAGGAACATTGTTATTAACCTAATTAGGGTACTCCTAAGCTGGCCTTTGCTAAAAATGTCCTCCGTTGATTGAGGTACACTCCAGGACCAAAGCGCCGCACGTGGCTTGCGAGCTGCTTTTTGCCGACCACAGGTCTAGTGGTTTTCCTGGTAGTTTAGTGGGTTTGTGTCAAGCGGTCTGGGACAGGATGTTTGAGAGAAGATGGACTGGTGTTAGGAATGTTGTCTGAAAACAGCTTTTGCTTAGTAGGCATGTGCTCTTAAAAAACTATTTACTGAGATGATGCTCAACTCCAGGAGGTAGTAGGTTTATTATTGTAAATATTTTTAAAGTCTTGAGCAAAGGAAAACTAATTAGATTTAATGTGTGGGTTTTCACATATATAAACAATCTACATTTTTATTCCCAACAAATGGCTTGATAAAAAGCCAGTGTCATCCAGTAAAATATTTTTCTTATCTAAAATATTTGAAGGAGTTTTAAAATATAAGAATCAACTAATACTAAGAATTGATATTTTTTTTAGTTTTAAAACTTGCTACATTCTCTCATTTAAAACTCAGAACAATCCAGTGAATAAATTTTCCAAAGGTCTCTGAGGTTCAGAGGGAGAAACTGACTAGTCCCGTGTTTCCCCGAAAATAAGACATCCTCCGAAATAAGACCTAGCTCATGAAAAGATAAAACATCCCCTGAAAATAAGACTTAGCACAACTTTGGGAGAAAAAATTAATATAAGACACTGTCTTGTTTTCAGGGAAACAGGGTCTTAGATCATATACTTAGAGGAAGTGTCAGAGCCAGAATTAAAATTCAGTTTTTTGGCCACTGAGTCCAACATGTTTGTTCTTTCTTTTTCTTTTTCTTTTCTTTTCTTTTCTTTTCTTTTTTTTTTTAAGTATATTTCTTTATTGATTTCAGAGAGGAAGGGAGAAGGAGAGATAGAAACATTAATGATGAGAGAGAATCATTAATCTGCTGCCTCCTGCACGCACCCTATTGGGGATCAAGCCCACAACCGAGGCATGTGCCCTTGGCTGCAATCAAACCTGGGACCCTTCAATCCACAGGCTGATGCTCTATCCATTGAACCAAGCCAGCTAGGGCCCAACATGTTCTTATTTTCTGTATAATATGACTTTAATTTTTTTTTTGAATGGTAACAGCTACCATTTTCTCTGAATGAATTTTCATAAAGAACCTAATTCTTATGTTAATGTGATCAGTTATAAACACTGAAACCCGCTAGTCTTTTTCTCACTCATTGTGGTTTTATTCTATAGATGCCTTAGCTGCTAATTAAAATTTCTTTTTCATTGGGTATCTCTTCATTTTATAAACTCCTGAAAGTGAATTGACCCCCAGAATACTACCTTTACCTCAAGTGGGCCACCAACATGACATGCTATATTCCAGTTTCTTTAGCAGTTAACTAGGAAGTTTTTTAAATCTCAGGTATGTTAACTGAGTGTAAAGTACTGTGTTGAGACAACTTTGCAAAGATTAAAACATGCTTATACTGTAAGCAACTTATTCTCTACTAAACTAGTTCCCAAAACTTTCTTTCCCATTTTGTTAAACCTTTCAATACATCATTTTTCTCAGCTGTAAAATAACAATATGCTTCAAAATCTTGGGAAGGGACCTTTTGTGGGATGGCAGGGGGAACACCTTGATTTTCTCAGCAGCATCTATAAAATGAAAGGAAAGTATTTAATCTGATATGTACTTGTGGGGTATTTTCTATATTGAGAAGGATTAGAAGTGGTCTATTTAAAGTCTTTTATATTGTAATTCTTATACTTTTTTCCCCTCATCTTTCCCCTTAGATTTCCTTCATGGATACATTTTCATAGCATTATTATATGATGTGAGAAGTCTTTTGTGGTGTGTTTTTTTGAAGTAACATGGATTTTATACTACAGAATCAAGAGATTGGCTTTATAGGAAAAATTGATTTATAAAAAGTGGTACAGGTTTTTATAGCTAACCATGACAACATCCCATATGAATGGGCATGTTACTGAGGAATCAGACGGCGAAGTAAAAAATGTTGATCTTGCATCACCAGAGGAACATCAGAAGCACCGAGAGATGGCTGTTGACTGCCCTGGAGATTTGGGCACCAGGATGATGCCTTTGCGTCGAAGTGCACAGTTGGAGCGTATTCGGCAACAACAGGAGGACATGAGGCGTAGGCGAGAGGAAGAAGGGAAAAAACAAGAACTTGACCTTAATTCTTCCATGAGACTTAAGAAACTAGCCCAAATGCCTCCAAAGACTGGAATAGATAACCCTATATTTGATACAGAAGAAGGAATTGTCTTAGAAAGTCCTCATTATGCTGTGAAAATATTAGGTAAGTAAAAACAGAATAATAGAAGATGTTTTTGCTTTTGTTTCTCTTACCTTAACATAAATATGTATAAAAAGGAAGAAGGGTATAAGAGGATATAAATAATAGCTTTTTGAAATCAATCCAAGACACTTCTTTTCTTCGTAAGGTCATACAACCATTATTGTTTACTATTAGTCAGGAAGAGTTAAAGCATATGGCTTAAATATTCCAGTTTCAACAACATGGTTTTAAGATATAATCTTTAAATTAAAAAAGCCTAACAGTTAAAAATGTCTTGAAATTCACCTTTTGACTTTTATATAAAAATTTCTCAAAAGCAATTTTCAGATTTTGAATTCCTGATTTCATTAATGTTTATAAAATAATAATGAGATTAATATCTGTAGCTTAAAAATCTGTTTGATTTTAATTAATATTATATATATAAAACATGGCTCAAAATCCCTGTACTATCTATTCCCAGTTCCGTTCTGTGATGTTGAGAACACAGCAAAAAACCAGTGCTGTGAGATTTTAATAGATATAAACCAAAAAATGTTCTGTAAAGTCAAATAAATTTGAGAATGGTGGGTTAAATAAGTTAAACAGCTTCTTATTACAGGACTTCTTATAGTCTTTAGAATGCTAATGGGCATTATGCATCTACAGCAGAGATTTATGTAAAATGTAAATTTCCAAACTTAGAATATTTGATTATTGAACTTACTGCCTTTTCTTTCTGCGCACGCATGCACACACGCATGATCACTAAATTAGTGTTGTGAGTGTATGTTAATTTGTGTTCCCTTAGATGCTACAGCAAACAACATTCTATGTAATATCCATAATAATCCTGTTAACAGGGCTCTGTAATTTTCATTTTAGAGATAAAGGCATTTAACCTCTGTTAAATCACCTGTTTAAGACCCAAGCCAAATTTAAATTTTTCAGATCTGGATATGTAATTGGAATATTGCCAGAGCAAAGGGTTTGAGTGAAGACTAAAACCGTATCTGTTCTTCACTCACTGAACCAGAGATCTGGCTACCAAGAGTGGAATATCTTTCTCTACTTTGCACAAAGATACCTTGTGTACTAGATTTGCTCCTTATCAAGTCTCTATATTCTAAATCGCAAGGAGTTTCTATTACATCACATTGTCTGCTTCTTTTCTTAAAGTAATGTGCATGTTTTTCTAATTTTTTAAGAAATCACTGGCATGTTCAGAGATAGTGAAATCTGCTAAGTGCCTTCAGATGTTATAGTGAAAGCAGAAAAATTACAGATTTTGTAAGACATTTATCTAAACTAATTTTATGCTCTTTTTTTTTTCCTGAGAGTTTTAATAGAGTTTCATTCCCAGTTGCCTTTTATTGGCTCACACCTCCCACCACCCCTTTTTTTTTTTTAAATAAAATAGTTTGTCTATATTCTCTATGACTTGGAAAAAGTTTAGTATATCCAACCTAAGCCTGGAAGATTCCTTTGTTTTTCTGTTTAAATTGCTTTAAGATTAATGTTTTTGTTCATTTTGCTTTACTTAGATCAGACATAAATGTCCCATCTAATAATATTCATGTAATCTCAGTAAAGAAACAAATATAGCTTAGCCAGATTCACATAGGGAATTTATTTATTTATTTAGTGCCCAGTGCACTAATTTGTGCACCTTGAAAGGAACTGTGGGCCACAGCTGCGGTGGGCACATGATGGGTCTTGGCCCATCCTCTGGACCCCCACTCGGCCCCTCCTGCCACAGCCCTCCCCCCCACCCGACCCCTATCTGCTCCGAGTGTGAGCAGCAGCTCTGGTGCTGGCTGCTGGTGTGAGTGGGCCAGCACTGGCAGAAGGTGAAAGCTCCGGGTGGGCCCTCCGTACACAGGAGCAAAGAATTTTCAGTAACCACTAGAGGCTCGCCCCAATGACAGCGACTGGCACCCTGTCTTGGTCTGGCGCCCCCACTCACCTGCTCCACCATCCTGCCTGCTGCCAACATCCACCATGTTCTGAGCATACCCCCTGGTAGACAGTGCACATCATAGCGACCGGTTGTTTGGTTGTTCGTTTACTCCGCCATTCTATCTATTTGCATATTAGGGTTTTATATATATATAGATTTGCCCAGGTATAGAGGACTGGAGACCATTTTTCTTAAATTTTTTGCCTTTTCCTTTTCCTGTTTGTATGATGCATTGCTAATTTATCTACAAGCGTAGATTAAAGGACAGCTAGTCCAGCTAGTGTGGCATAGTGTCAACCTATGAACCAGGAGGTCAAGGTTCAATTCCCAGACAGGTTCACATGCCTGGGTTGTGGGTTTGATTCCTAGTAGAGGATGTGCAGGAGGCAGCCAATCAGTGATTCTCATCATTGATGTTTCTATATCTGTCTCCCCCTCTTCCTTCCTTTATAAAATCAATTAAAAATATATTTTTAAAAAGGACAAGTATATTTACTTCCAACTTGTAATCTGCATTCGTTAGTAAAAATACCTTTGTGCAGTCCTTGTACTTAAGGATATTTTACATACTTTATTTTAAAGTAATTTGAAATGTAGCACCAGATATCTGTAATTCATTTTTTGAGTAGGAGAATATTTAACATGTTGAGAAATAAGTGATAGATTTAATGTTAATACACTCAACACAAATGTGTTAATTATAGAAAACATGAAAAGTTAGCGTAAGTTATCAAGTTGTTATTGTCAGTCAAAGTTTGAGTGTTTGGATAGATTCAGTTTTAAGTTTTCATTTTAAAATTCTGTTTAATAGCCTTGCACCAAACTTTTTTTTTTCTGTTCATAATTCGCTAACACATCATATGACAACAAAGGTACTCCCTTAAAGTTGTTTCTCCCTGCCAGTATTTTGATTAATACACACATGCCAGAAGACAACTTCTCAGCCTTTTTCACAGCCAGAAACAGCAATCTTGTTTTAAATAAGGCAGGGATGGGGCAGCTGATTTCTTTCTTTCAAAGGGAGCCTTCAGTTTGGAGATGATACATCATTTACCTGTGAGTAGAGAAAGTAATTCTTTTAAGAATTGAAAATATGACTGGAAAGGTTTAGGTACTTTAATTGTCTGGGTGGTCTTTTTTAATGAAAGTTTTTATAAATTTGGTATTCTGTAGTAATAAAAGTACAACGATAGAGGAATCACTTTATTGTTTTACAAAGCAGATGCATCAGTTTACATTCCCACCAGTAATTCATTGGTCATAGACATCCTAATGAGTGTAAGCTTGCCTTTGATTTTCAGACTAACTGGGAATAATTTGCTAACACACTTAGGATAGTATATGTTACAAAGTAAAATTTCTGTTAATTTGTTAAATAAATGCACAGATCACCAATGTGTTTTTTTGTGTGTATATGTTTTTTAAGTTCAGGGATGGAATTGATAGAAAATATTCAGAAAGAACGAACTGAATTTTCTTGTTTAAAAGCACTCAGAACATTATTGAAAATTATTGATGTGGGAACTTAACACTAAATGAGTAATTAAAAATTAAAATTTTTATATCAAGTATAAAATTTTTTGATATAGTTGAGAAATTTTGAACTAATTCCAAATAAATGATTAATATTATAAATTATAAAAAATTTGATATATTACGGAGGCTTTCCTTAAAATTGGCATGAGTTAAAACTTACTTGTCATAAACAAAATATCATTGTCTAACTCTCTTTTATAATCAAAGTACCTTGTGAGAGAAATCCTGAGGGAAAAAAGCAGAATGCAGGTTAGAGTGGGATGAGCTGGAGTAGGATCATTTTCACATGTCTGGATTGTAGATTTCACTGTTTCGGGTTTTGTATTCACAAATAAGTAATTTTGGACCACAGTTGTGGATAAGTAAATACAGTAGACATAATATTTAAAGAGAATAAACTCAAAAACACTGTAGACTATATGATTTTTGCATCTTTAAAAAAGCTTAGGAAAGTCACACTCAACCACCCACACTTACCCATAAGCTGTTTGTTTTGTGGTTAATAGACTCCTGAAATTGGTGGTTAGGAGCTTTCTAATTTATACCAAGAGGACATGCTATTAATGTGAAGAAACATTTTAAAAAGACACACCAATGACAAGAATATTATGAACAAAATATTTTATTATAATAATACCATGTTTCAGTATTAAGTGTCTACATATTATTTTTGCCAGATAGCTCTGAATATTCAAATTGTTAAGTCAAGAGTACTTCTGGTTTTGGCTGGATGGTATAGTTGGTTGGAACATTGTCCCATACATCGAAAGGTTGTGGGTTTAATCCCTGATCTGGGTGCATACAGGAGGTAACCGATCAATGTTTCTCATTCTCTCTCTAAAATCAATAATAAACATATCCTCAGGTGAGGGTTTTTTTTTTTTAAAAGAGAATTCCTCTGTATTTGACATTGTAAAGTGAAATATGTCATGTTTATTTCTGACAGTATCTGACTTTTGGTTGCTCATGGTGTATTCTGGAATATTGCTGGATTATAATGAATTTTTTAAGAGAATGGCTTTTAAAATAAAAGTTTATTTAAAGTTAACAAACAAAATTCCAGTGCCAATAAACCTTGAAATCAGCCTACTTCTGAGAAGTTAATTTTTCTTGCCATTAAGCTCAACTGCTGTAGATATCTCCACACTTTATTAGCCATTCTTTGAGGGACTTCTTTCTAGAAGTGAAATAATAACACCTATTGGTATTGGGTTTAATGTTTAAAATGCTAAGACCATTTGAAAATTTTCTGATTTATTAGGATTGCTATAATTAGAGCTAACCTAAGATAAAATTTTTAAGAATTCAATAGAATATGGATATAGTCATATAATGTTTGGTTGTTAAATATGCATAATTTGCATAATTCTACTGAAAAATTATCAATTGTTACACCATTTAGCCATTGACACAATACTAAAAACTTCATTCTGCCCGCCCTAGCTGGTTTGGCTCAGTGAATTGAGCATCAGCCTGTGGACTGAAGGGTCCTGGGTTCAATTCCAGTCAAGGGCATATGCCCAGG